TTAATATTTTCTTTTACAAGTTTGAAGCATGTGGCGTTATATCTGTGTTTTTTTTATTGCCTAATAAAAAGACAATTTATCCAAACGTTTTTGCTTGTTTGCTCCCTGATCTTTCCGGCTCTGGATAATGTCCCGTCAGCAGTGTCAGAGCAGGATCTCCCCTCATCAGACACATTCAGGTCAACACAGTGTAACCGTGGAGTTTTCCTTCCTGGACCCAGTGAGTGGGTGATAAACAAACTGTGGGTGTGATTGGTGGGACACAAAGCGCCCCCTGAGTCTCTCTGACAGGTTTAATGCACAATGGCTTCTCTCTTCTTCACACAAACTGAACAGCCTAATTGTGATCTGAAGTTTATGAGTCGGCTCTTCTTTTTGTTTCTTTTTACAATCAGCTGAAGTGTAAAGGTATTTTAATCCCCTTGGAGTAGACATGTTGTGTTATTCCTCTTCCTCTGTGGGACCCCTCTAGTATTTGGCTCCAAGTTTTCAGTGTATGACAGCAAACTCAGGAAATCCTGTTTAAAAAAATGGTACTTATCTAGTGGAAGCAGAGTATTGTTGCCATAGAAATGCAAAAATACAGTTTTACTGTTCTTACTAAAATAAACACCTTCATTTGACCAGTGAGGGTCAGGACTCTTGCTGATTTTGGCATCAGTTTCCCAGTTCCTTTACAGCAGAGCGTTTGTTGAGTGGTTTGGGACATCGTCGAGGCATGTTTGTGTTTAGACTCCTTTGTCAGCAGTTTACATGCCAGTTTCTCTCCTTTTGTCTTGCAGAGTTCATTCATGCTTCAGCGTCATTTCCAGTTTTCCCTGAGGTGGAATTTTGCACGTCACTGTGATAAAAGGGATGAATGAGGTATTCATCTTCAGACCAAAAGGGTTAAAGTTTAAGGGTTACAGTTATTTAGAAGTGGATTTTTAACAACATATTAAAACATCAAGTCTGTCCAAGTTTTTAATATCTATGTTTAACCAGTTTAGCATCTCAGTAAGACACATAAAACAATATGTAGGTCTTTCAAAAGCTGTCTTTGAAGTTTCACTTATTCTCACTCCTGAACATTTCTAGAATTTTTTTTTTATTATTTGTTTGTTGGAGAAATCATCTCCCAGGTCTTGTTTTAGGCCTTTACTTTTTATGTCCTCCACTTGTCCCTTTTCATGTTTCCTGAAATAAATTCATATTTGTTATTTCCAGTTAAATGACATAAACTGCAACAACCATCCCCAAACATTATGTCACTGTTATCCCTCCAGGGTCGTTCTGCTCTCCTCAGAAGGTGCCACCTCGTCAAGTCCAAGTCTGACTCTCCGGGCTCAGCCGGGGCGTCTCTGTCTGTGGACTCAGGAGATGGAGTGGCAGCTCCGGTTGAGAATAATGGAGCCTTTCCCCTGTCTGAGCTCTCAAACCTGTTCGAAAGCGAGGATGTCTCCCAGCCGGCGCAGGACACGAGTCAGGACTCAACCCTGGAGCCGGTTCAGCCTGGCCAGTCCTCGGACAGCAGGCCGAACCTGCGGATGAAGTTCCAGGGCGCTTTCAAGAAGGGCATTTCCAACCCAATGGACCGACTGGAAACCACCATATATGAGTCAAATGTGGTTCCAGGCCCGAAGAAAGCGCCCATGGACTCTCTGTTTGACTATGGTGACTATGGTAACAATGGAAACGAAGGCAACCAGAAGAGGCGCAAGAAGAAGCTCCCAAGAGGGTGAGAAGAGAGAACACTACAAGACCTGTGTGTTTAGGATTTATAACTCTGCATTTTATCATCTTGGTTTGGAGGTGTAGTTCCTCTCTCAACAGTAACTAGAAAAATTTGCAAGAATTTTGTGTGAATGCTTAGTGCTGAATGATTTTGCTGAAAGCTGCTGAAGTTGCTGAAACCAAGCTGTAAATTTTTAACCACAGAACTGTCACTAACAATGGAAAAAATATGAAAGAGTTAGCTAAAAGGGGCTTCACGTTCACAATGGCTCAGTTGGTAGACCTGTTGCCTTTAAGCGAGAAGGTTGCCGGATCAAATCCCAGCCGGGGACCTTTCTGAGTGGAGTTTGCATGTTCTCTCCGTGGGTTTTCTCCAGGTACTCTCCCACAGACCAACTGCATACATGTTAGACTAATTGGTAACTCTAAAATTGTTCCTATGTGTGAGTGAGAGAGTGAATGGTTCTTGTTTGTCTCATATGTCCCTGTGATGGACTGGAGACCTGTCCATGGTGTGTCCCACGCCTCTCGCACAGTAACTGCTGAATATGGGCACCAGTGACCCTCATGACCCAAAAAGTAAGATAATGGATGGATGGAGTTAGCTAAATGCCAGAAGTAGTGAAATGCTGGTAAAAATGCATGGAAAAATCAGCCTCTTCTGATCAGAAGAATCAAAATGATAGCAAAAAGCAGAAAAATGAATGCATGCTTTGAATTAAACTGAAAGAAGCTGAAATGAGAAAAAAAGAGGTGGAATTAGCTGAAACAACTCAAATTATCAGAAAAATGGCTAAACAGTAGCTGAAAAGGCAGAAAAACCTGAAATAAGCAGAAATATGTTGAAAGAGCGGCAGCACGGTGGCGCAACTGGTAGAGCTGCTGCCTCTCAGCGAGCAGGTCCCTGGTTCAAACCCCGGTCCAGGGGCCTTTCTGGGTGGAGTTTGCATGTTCTCTCCGTGCATGTGTGGGTTTTCTCCGGGTGCTCCGGTTTCCTCCCACAGTCCAAAAACATGCATGTTAGTCTGATTGGTAACTCTAAATTGTCCCTAGGTGTGAGTGAGAGAGTGAATGGTTGTTTGTCTCGTTTGTCTCTATGTGGCCCTGTGATGGACTTGCGACCCGTCCAGGGTGTACCCCGCCCCTCGCACAGTGATTGCTGGACATGGGCACCAGCGACCCCCGTGACCCAAAATGGAATAAACGGGTAAAGATAATGGATGGATGGATGGATGTTGAAAGAGCCATGGACACCGGCGACCTCCGTGACCCAAAATGGAAGAAATGGGTAAAAAGATAGTGGATGGATGGATGGATGGATGTTGAAAAAGCTATTAGAAGCTGAAATTAGTAGAAAGAAGTTAGAACAAGCACAAAAAGGCTGAAGTTAAGCAGAAAGAAGCTGAAAAGAAGACAAAAATAACAATTTGTTTTGAAATTAGCTAAAAGTAGCTAAAGAAAGCTAAAATTAACACAAAAAGCTGATGTAGAACAAAATGCGAAATGAGCAGTAAAAGGTTGTAAATGGATGAAAGTATGTGAGGGATGTGAAAGCTCAATTCATTTTCTATGAGAAAAAAATGGCAGAAAAAGCTAAATATGTCAAAAAGCTAAATTTGCACCAAACCTAAAATCATAGCAGAAGTGCCTTGCATGAGCTGACTGTTTTGATGTGGTGGGCACAGCTAATCAAAAAGTTAGCCTCACTAAACATTAATTCACAAACAAAAACATTAGCTTCGGCTGCTCCCTTCTTCAGGAGTTGCCACAGCGAACTAAGTCTCACGGAAACTTGGCGATTGTTTTTGTGCCGGATGTGCTTCCTGACACAACCACAGACCACCGAGCTACCACAGCCCTCTGTGTGGAGCAGAGGGGCTGCTATCTAGGGCGCCCGGGGGAGCGGATTGGGGTGGGGGGGGTGTTAAGGGCCTTGTTCAAGGGCCCAGAGTGGGGCAAATGAGGGTGGAGACAGGTGTGGGTGCTTCACATATCCCACCCACATGTTGATGTTGTCAATACCAGGAGTTGAACTAGCGATCTTCCAATCACAGGCCCACCATCTCTGACCTCTGCACCACTCCTCCCCGTTAGCTTTGCTAACACTAAACAGATAAAAAATTATTGGAAGCTAATGCTAAGGCACTAACTTTTATTTTACACTTCTGTCGCTGGCACTGTAAGAATGTCTTTAACGTGACAATGTTGTAAGTGAACACAACTCAAAACGGTTCATTAATCACAGGTAAAGCGTCCATGTCCCTCAGAGGTGAGCTTTCAGAAATAAATCCGGTCCATCTGAACCAAAGAGGCGGAGCAGAACTCTGATGTGTTGAAGCAGAGTGATGCATTCAATGCATGTTGGACGTCTCCCTTACGTCATTTACTATAATGAATTAACTCACTTTAGTGATCCTCTTTGTGGTTAACTGCTTTTATAAACGAAGTACAAAGTTGATGTGCGTCATCATCAATATCCTCTTGGTAATAAATCCGTTTGAATTAAGGTAAAGATGTGTGAAATCATGTGTGAGAGAGTCACGTTCCAGAGAAATTGTGAGCATTGCAAAGCATGCTGGGTAGGAATTACATGTACTATGTTTCTAACTTTATAATGTTTCTGAGGATGAGAATGGGTTTTTCATGTTATTTTCCTGTTCTGGTTTGGCGTTGATGTTAAAGTCTGTTATTGGCTGTAAACTGACACCATGACTCAGACTGTTTGTAGTAGATATGAAGAGGGAAAGTACTGCGGGTGTGAGGCATCACCAGATGGTGTTTAGCTCTGCGTAGCATAGCTCTTTGTAACTTTAGTGTGGAGAACTGTCTTAAAAAATGAGTGGACATGAATTTACTGGATTAAAATTGTAACATGATGATTCTGTTGAAAATTTTCAAATTTATCAAAAATGCTGATCTGCTACATGGGAAGTTATCTCCACTGTTTAGTGACTTAGCAGAAGTTTAGCTAATTCTGAAAACCTGTAACAAAATAAGCTTCTGCTAACTTCAAATCCAATTAAATCTAGCAAGCAAATTTATTTTTTAGACTGTTTTTCATACTAAAAGCACAAAAGAGAATGATGGAGTGATGTTATGCTACACAGGGCTAAGCAAATGTAAGCACCACCTGGTGAAGTCACCACCCTCACACTACTTTTCCCCTTCTTAACTATTGCAAACAGTTTCTGACTCATGGTGTCAGTTTACAGCCAATAACAGAGACTTTAACATAAACGCCAAACCAGAACAGGAAAATAACATGAAAAACCATTTTCACACTCTGAAACATCATAAACAGTTGAAAACATTGCACACAGAATTCCTACCCAGCATGCTTTGGAACACTTACAATTTCTCTGGGACATGACCCTCTCACACATGATTTCGCACATCTTTACCTTAATCCTCTTTATTCCTGGGGCCCCTGCTGTATAAATGATTATGTGTGCAACATTACAAATACAGCAACAGTCTTAATAACAGTAACTGTAGTATTAAAATATTTACAACAAAACATCCAGTAATAAGACATAAAATACAATGCAAGTTTTAAAAAAAATCACAATTTAAGACACTTACATGCAGGTGCAAGATGTGACTAAAACCACTTGACAGTTTTAGCTTTAAACTAGTTAAAGGAATAAAAGATTCCAATCTCATCTTAAGCTGCAGATCATTCAAAGGCCGTGGGGCTGAAATAGGACAAGCTCATCTTTCCTGACTCTGTGCACACAAAGGGTGCCTTAAATCACAGCCAGCTACTGGAGTAATTAAAGTAACAATACAAAGAAACAGGAAGACAAGATAATTTTAAATTTTAAACCCCACAAAACAAAACAAGTGCACACTGAAATGCATGATGTCATTACATGATTTTCATGCCCTGGCAGAAGTAATTGAACAGCTAAAATTTAGGCCTAAAAGCATTTGAAACCAATAATAAGTTGCACTAGAAACAGGTCGTAACATCTTCTGACGGCCATGAACAGTTAGAAATGTAAAGGGCTGTAACAGTGTGAAGTAATCTGGGTCATACAAAAATGGTGGAAAACAATATACTAACATAAAGTTTGTTTTCCCTCTTCATATCTACTACAAACAGTCTGAGTCATGGTGTCAGTTTACAGCCAATAACAGACTTTAACATCAACGCCAAACCAGAACAGGAAAATAACATGAAAAACCCATTCTCATCCAGGTATATAACAACAAACTTCTCAGTAACTTACAGTTACTGAAAAAACAAACTTTGTGTTTTTGAAACCATTAGTGAAAAGGCCAGACTTCAGGGGTATCTGAGGCAGGCTTGAAACACAAGAGTCAGCGTGGCTTCTGGGTAATACCAGATGGCTAGGCCTCAGACTGACGAAGCCTCTTGGATGAGGGGCGAAACGTTTCTTTTTAACAAAAAAAACGAAGTCCAGATGACATGATTCAACCTTTTTTGTTAATATACTAACATGATTAATAATCCAATAATGTTCAATCAAGTCATCTGGACAGTTTATTTTGTTGCTGAGACATTTCATCCTTCATCCAAAGGACTTCTTCAGTTTGAGGAGCCCACCAAACCAAACTGAATCCCACAAACAGCTCACTCCCAGAGTGGGGAAAAAAAACAGTTTGCTGGTGATATCAATCAACCTTTATTTATACAGGTAAATCCCATTGAGCCTCGAGGACTCATTTACAAGAGAGACCTGATTTCAACAAAGAAAGATGACAACAATGGACAACAGCAACAATAAAAAACAGTTATAAAAAAAGCATACTACAGTTTTTTTTTTTTTTTTTTTTTTAACAATCAGGATGGCTAAAAGGAAAAGGTAACAAAACAAAAAACAGCTAGATTCCAAGACAAATGTAGAAAAACTAAAAACAGGAACATGTCAGCATTGGACCCTGCCAGGTGTCCAACAGATTCTTAAAGACACTTAGAGAGGTCAAGGTCGAGAGCTTCAAATCTTTTTGTAAGATGTTCCAGGAAACAGGAGCGGAATAGGAGAAGGCCCTTTTGCCTAGTTCAGTCCTCATTGAGGGAACACTGCAGGTAATAATGTCCTGAGAGCGGCCCACACTCTGTCCCATCAACTCCCCCAAGGCAGACCATGCCAAAGTGGTTCAAAACACTTTTCACCATCTTATCACCAGCAAACTTTTTCTTTTTTTCCCCCACTCTGGGAGTGAGCTGTTAATGGGATTCAGTTTGGTTTGGTGAGCTCCTCAGACTGAAGAAGTCCTTTGGATGAAGGGTGAAACATCTCAACAACAAAAGAAACCGTCCAGATGACCTGAGTGAACATTGTTGGATTTATATCTGGATTAATGAGCATGAAATTTGATGATTAATAATGCTAATATTTTAAGATATTTTCAAGTAAGTCATTTGTCCAATTTGTTCACTGTTTCACCTGACTGAGGTGGAATCTGAACTGAGGTTGTCTGATTCATGGTGAAAACTGATCCTAAATGCAGTCATGGTTGGGTTTTTTTTTTGTATGCAAGGTCTGAGGATTACTGTTAGTTCACCTGCTGCATAGTCAAAAACATGATCGTTACCATATTTAATAATTTGTCTTTTTTGCTCATTTTCTTAAGATAATGATTTATACCATTTCGAAAATTTTAAAAATATTGCCATAGTTATTCATTAATTTACTTACCTGTTAATTTTTTAAAATATATTTATTTTTCTCCCATGGTTCAATCAGAGACGGAGGAGAACCAGCATACAAAGCTGTGCTCAGACCATCCTCACTTTTTAATTGAACCATATGGGAAAATTAATAAATATATGAACAATTACTTATAACTCCACCTCTCGACTCATGGTCAGATTTTCACACCATGTGCTTAAAAAACCCTCAAGATCTTTCAATAATATCTTGTATTACCCTCCTAATTTGTTATTTTTATCCAGTTCTACCACTTTTATTGCAATTTACTGAACTTCTGCCTCGACTCAGTGTCAGCGGGATTGATTCAAAGTCACTGTCTTTGACCTGATCAGCATGAATGAGAACACGTGCATCAAACTTCTGCTCTACAAAAACAAAACAACTCTTCAAGCGTTTTTAGTCTGCTTAGTGCACACATTATCACGTGGTTCAAACACGGGAAGCATGGCGTGATCACAAGCCAGCAGCTCAGGACATCCAGCAAATAGTCATTATGTCAATAAACCAAGTATTACAATGAACAGTTGCATTATCTATTTATTTATTTTGCTGCATTGAATCATAAATGCAATAAACTGAACCCAAATATGTATTTCAAAAAAATAACATCTCAAGATTTTTTTTCTCACAACATAAGTGGTGATATTATAATTTGAAAACAAAAATGACACATAATGTCTCAAAAATATTTTATTTTGAAAAACAAAGATTTAGCAAGGCAGAAATGTCAGAATAATATTTGTGTTAAATAGGAGGCACAATGTGTCATTTTTGTTTTTAATATGAACATCACTACTTTTATTGCAAGGAAATAAATTATTGTGTGAATCTGGATAGTTTGGAAAATTGTTGTCATTAAAAAAATACCTCGTACACTTCAGCTTTGTAGGCGGAGGCCCACCACAGAGTTACACACACACACGCACGCACGCACACACACCATGCTTCAGACCATTCCCTGACTGAACAGAGAGCATCTTGTTGGATCCTCTGTGGCCGTTGAGGTAATATTTAGGCTGCTGCTGCTTCCTGGATCCATACCTGCCCCCAAACACACAGAGGTCTTTTTATTCGAGCACTCAGGCTCTAAGTGTTCTTTCAAACAGGCGGTTTGTGCAACGATTTCTTATTTTCCTGTCAATAAAAAGTAAATCAAAGCTGTACTTCCAGGGTGGGTGCTGACGTCCTACAGTTCCAGCACATTGTGTAACATCAAGTCTCGTTTTTGCTCTTTTAGTAAAACCGAGGCGTCGTGCGACGACAGTCAGAATGCCAACCCTCCAAAAGTCGTGAAAGTGTTCAACCGGTCTCTGTTGTTTGACTGCGTGTCGCGTGCAGACCCCGAGGCCCTCGAGGGCCTGCTGGAGTACCTGCAAAGTCAAGGGAAGAGGTTAACAGATGAAGAGTTTAGAGGTAAGACCTAAACTTTGTCACTGTTTCCTACAGTTCAAGTTTTAATTCTTCAATTTTGAGATTCTGCCACAAAGAAAATACTTGGCTTTAGCTTTTGGCTGTGTGACCTTTGACCTTCTGTGTTTTCTGCATTTCTCTGTGCTTTTTTTGGCTTTCAGGTGTCAGACAAACAGACTTCCTCTGAGTCTGAGGAGTTTTCTCAGGTTTCTAACAGGGAGCAGAGAGAAATCACAGCAAACTGCCGACTCTGGTAGAGAGTTAAATAAAGATTTACAGTATTTGGACTGACTGATGTTAAAGGCTTGCTTGACCCCCATTTTGAACAGTTTGTTCTCATGAAGCCATTTGTGAACCTCTTGTCTCTCTTCCGTCATTGTTAATTAACTCCCATTTTATTTACAGGAGCAACAGGAAGTCACTTTTTTTACAACAGTGGACCCCACAGCCACCAGGGTTGGGATGTACAGTAGTCCCTCATTTATTGCGGGGTTACGTTCTGTAACCCCCTGCAATAAGTGAAAATCCGCAAAATAGGGATGTTGTATTTACTTTAGTATTTATACATATTTTAAGGCTTTATAAACTCTTCCCATGCTCTTGCAATGTTCTAAACTCTTAAACCCACTCATTTAACAACATACGTACAAGACTGTATATGTAGCTGCTACATTTTACTCACCAGCTCTGCAGAACAGAAGCGGCTCTCGGTTCCGCTCGGTTCCAGTCCGACTCGGTTCTGGTCCAACTCGGTTCTGTTTCGGCAGACCTACCCTGCCGGTTCTGGTCAGCTCTCTGGCTCGGGGTGGTCCCGGTGGGCTCTGGAGAGAACGCCGGACCTCCGGGCTGCGCCTCCCCACTCGGAAGTCCTCGTGGGCCGGCAAGCATCTTAGATTTTCTGGAGGTCCAGTTCTTCTCCGGTTCTGGTCGACTCTGTGCAGTTCTTGAGCACCGAAATACATTTTGAAGGGAGCTGGACCTTCCAGCATGGGACCAGACGGTGGTTCGATTGAGTCCAAATCTGAATGGGGGAAGTCCCCGTGGGATCCGGAGAGAACGCTAGACCTCCGGCAACCCCTCCTTGCTCGAAAGGTCTCATGGGCCGGCTGGTGGCACTCAGATTCACGAGTCTGGAGGTCAGGTTCTGGTCCAGTTCCCGGTGGGTTCCATGCAGCTCTTCATCCGCTGGGTGCCAAAGTCACTATGAATAAGGACCAAACTTTTTCAGATCAGATCAAAACTTTCCCTCTATGTATTTCTACAGGAGGCAATGGGGCTTCTGAGTGGGGCCCTGTTGGCTTCTGGGAAATGTAGTCCATATGTGTGGTGATACAGTATAGGCTTACTGAGAGAAAACTAGAAAATGGCGGCGCCTGTCTGAATTATTTTATTTTTCCGTTAACTTTCTACTGTACAGTATCCAATACCGTCCCAATCACGTGAGTAATATTAAAGTTGACAATCATTTGTCGTATACAAATAATTTTCTTGTGTACAACCTTACTTTGAAAAACCGTGAAAGAGCGAGTCCGTGAAAGTCGAACCGTGAATTAGCGAGGGACTACTGTATTCAGATTTTCATCCATCAAATCCTCCCCTTGTTTTACGTGTATACGGTGCTACTTGGCTAGAAATGCTCCTTGTTATGTGTAAATTTATGTGACCCCCCCTGTGCTCTCTAGCGCCCCCAGGTTGGGAACCACTGATTTGCATTATGGTTGGAACAGATTGTGAACCAGAGTTTGTCCTGATTAAGGATGTGTCACAAAGATACTGTATATATTCCTTATTGTTATCACATCGTGTAAAAAATAAAATAAAATTAGCAATAAAAAAATAGCTTCAACAGAAAGATTCATGATGTTAAAGAATCAACATCTCATGTCTAGAGCTTTTTCCCCCTTGACCGATGAGCATAATGGACTCGATGTGAAGCTGTGTTTGTAGCACACAGAAGGAAGGCGGGGAGCTCTAGGTGTCCACCGGATGAAGGGATGATCTTTGGGCTTCAGACTTTAAAAGTCTTCCAGTGTTCTCTGGTGTTTAGCTTGTGCACCTTCCTTCTCATCTTCAGCCTTCAGCTCTGAGGTCCACTGCACCAGAGTCAAAACTCAGTCTTTGAACACTACATACAATCTGACATGTTCCTGTTTTGAAAGATTTACAGGATCTTTGCATGCACTTTCATTTCATTCAGCTCTAAAACAAACAGGTGACCAAGAAAGATTTTTAATTAATGTCAACACGAAACCAGTGCTATTTTTAGATCCCTCAGGATGCCATACATCTAGTCACGGAGTCAGCTCACTACCAGCTTAATCCCCAGAAACGCAGGGTATGAAACGCAGCTAAATATTTATTATATTCAATTTACACGCAATTGCTTTCTTTCTTCCTGTTGTGTTTACTAGAGCCATCCACGGGAAAGACGTGTCTGCCTAAAGCGCTGATGAACCTTTATGGTGGTCAGAACAACACCATCCCGCTGCTGGTGGATATTGCAGAGAAGACGGGAAACCTCAGGGAGTTTATAAATACGCCGTTTAGAGATCTGTACTACAGAGGTGAGATAATAAGCTCATAACGAACACATGCTGCCAAATAAAACATAGAACTGAGCAGATTTAAGACATTGATCCTATCATGGACTTGAAGCTGGCCGTGTTTTATTCAGTGTTAGGGCCTCTGCCAGGCTGAGGCCCTAACATGGGAAAAGGAGATGTATTATTCACAGGATGTATGTTTACAGTCTGCAAATGAGTCCATCCAGGCCTGATTTGTTTGGCGTTCATCCTTTCCATTACTGGCTGTGAGACGGCAGGGATCCCTTTCAGCTTGCAACACTATCTGTTCGGTACTTTCTATCCATTGCACCTTTTTACATAAAGAGCAGAGCATTGGAGCTACTGGAGATTATGTACGCTGGCGCAGTGGATAGAAAGTACCTCATGTATAGAATTACAGGTTGAAAAGGATCCCTGCTATCTCACAGCCAGTAATGAAAAGGATGAACGCCAAACAAATCAGGCCTGGATGAGTTATGTATTTTTAAACACAAACTATGTGAATAAAGCCTAACGCCATATAGCTTTAAATTTAGCTTTGACTTCCTCCATCAAGCTCGCAGTTGAGCATTTCTCAGAGCCATAAACTCCCCTTGAGAAACGGCACGTTAAGCACTTGTTCTTGTGTAATTGTTCTTGCAGATTTTTCTGTCCACAGCATTAACTCGTGCACCTCGGTTTTGTAATCTCATATCGGAAGAGACATTCTTTTCGTAAACGTGTTTTCACTTTAGCTCATTGTGAGGCAGAGAGGCGTGGGACGCCTTTAGGAGTAATACGTCTTGTGTGTTGTGTTTTGGTGGCAGGCCAGACGGCGCTCCACATTGCCATCGAGCGACGCTGTAAGCCGTACGTGCAGCTGCTGGTGGAGAAGGGAGCAGACGTGCACGCCCAAGCGAGGGGCCGTTTCTTCCAGCCCAAAGACGAGGGAGGGTACTTCTACTTCGGTAACTTCTTGCCAGCTCTAAACCTTTGCTTCTAAACAGCAGCCTTCAGTGTGTTTCTGTGTTTTCATCCTTACAACCTTTTTCCTGAAGCTCTTGCAACTCGTCTGTGTTATATTCTGATTGTACCAATGAGGTGTTTTGGATGTTTCTATGACTTCACGGCTCTTGTGAGGTTATTTTAGCTTCAAATTGACATCTGTGTTTTCTGCTCCTGCAGCTGCCAGGAACAAATTAATAAAACTGGAACATTTTTAAAGCAGACACCTCTGCTGCCACATAGACAGGAGGTGACATCAGTCCTCCACCCTTTTTTGCTTTTTAATGTGGCAGGTTTTGGTAGGACCCATACATCCTGCTGATGTGAGCTCCACCTTACAGCCCAATGTTTTTTAAACTGTCATTCTGCCAAAAAAAAAAAAGCCCATAAAATGACTAGTGTTGTATTTTATTAAGTCATGCATCCAGTGAAATGTGTCTGTTCAGCAGTTAGGAAAAAGAAACCTCTGCTGGTGGGAAGAATTTGACTGACCTTAAAACAAATAAATTAAGAGGTGATGACTCAACACTGCCCTCTGGTGGCTGATGTTTAGCACACTCCTCACCAAATTCTGCTGGATGTCCCCTCAGGATGCATCTGTCTTTAATGTTTGAATCTTTTGGTGATACTTGTTGCATAGAATTGATTAAAAAAATGACTCCTCTTCTCAAGCAAAAAATATATTTGAAATGTTCTGGGCTCTGTTGATATCTTACCGAGCTCACGTTTAACACTAGCTTCTTTTCTAAAAATTCAAATCAAACGTTACGTCCCCCCTTTTTTTTTAAAAATCATGGAGGAGAGGATTTCTATTTTAACTGAGCATGGTTGTCATTCCCAAATCCCGGCGTGTCCGGGCACACTGTGAGTAATTTGCTGTGGAGCTTTGCAGGGAGGTGAACAGGAACCTGGCAGGGCTGATGGCTAATGGGATTTGGGCTCACGCTAACTCTCTGCGTGCACCCGTGCAAATCCATGAAGAGGAGCGCTTCTATGTGAGGTGACAAAGTAATCTGTCACCCATGGCAACGGCTCATTTTCAGCAGCTGCTTTTGGCACTCTGGCCCCTCTGGGCCCCTCCCTCAAACAACCGTTAATTGTGCTACTTTCATGGTGGGGATTTACGGCAGATCTTTGATCCATGTTTAGTCTGCTTTGTGCAAACCTACAGATGCCAGCTACAGTTCCTAATTAACCCTCCCATTATACTTTTCTTTTTATTTTACAAGTGCAGGTTTTTTTCTCTCCTGTGGCTCCGAATTGACGTGAGCGCTCTGTCATTGTTCACCCAGGTGAGCTGCCCCTCTCACTTGCTGCATGCACCAACCAGCCTGACATCGTGCACTACCTGACGGAGAATCCGCACAAGAAGGCCGACCTGCGACGCCAAGATTCACGTGGAAACACCGTGCTGCATGCGCTGGTGCACATTGCAGACAACACGAAGGACAACACCCGTTTCCTCACTAAGATGTACGATCTGCTGCTGGTTAAGTGCACCAAGCTCTTCCCAGACTGTAGCCTGGAGACGATACTCAACAACGATGGAATGTCACCGCTCATGATGACTGCCAAACTGGGCAAGACGGGGGTTAGATACATTTACTGCACAGTTTACTGCGCTGTTGTGTTTCTTCTTAGGTGAACGCTCTGATCAAAGGTCAGTGGGTCAGCTGTTCTGTATTCCTCCAGGTTTTCCAGCATATTATCCGGCGTGAGATCAAGAATGAGGAAGCTCGTCATCTGTCACGTAAGTTTAAGGACTGGGCCTATGGTCCGGTGTACTCCTCGCTCTATGACCTGTCGTCACTGGATACATGTGGGGAGGAACCGTCTGTGCTGGAAATCCTTGTCTACAACAGTCGCAATGAGGTAAAGGATGTTAGTCGTTTAGATAAAGTGGAGTAACACATCTTGTGCATGTGTTAATGTTTTAGCTTTAAGATCACTGGATGGTTCTGTTCTCGTTGTCAGAACCGACACGAAATGCTGGCTGTGGAGCCCATCAACGAGCTGCTAAGGACCAAATGGCAGAGGTTTGCTGCTGTCACCTTCTACATCAGTGTGTTTTCCTACCTCGTCTCCATGATCATCTTCACCCTGGTGGCTTATTATCACCCAACGGAGGGAACGGTTGGTGTCAAATTGGAAATAAATGCAATCAGCTGTGTTTTTTGCACAAAATGAACGGGCTGTATTTCAGCACGTTTCTAATTACATACAAGGGTTTTAATGTAGGCTACAAGCATGGCCCATAAAGTCCAATCCACCAGAGTTTCAGTTTGATGAATTGACTTTACCACATCTGAAAATCTTTGTTTCTGCAGGTACCACAATTGTACCTACTAAAACACTTTTAGCACTTTTAAAGGTTTTTGCCACAGCACAAGTGTTTTTTGCTGCTGCACTATGTGGCTGTTTCATGTATGTCACCTTACCATCATAATTCAGTTCATCTAAATGTTACTACCTGTGCAAATCTGTCACACAACCTGTGTAGTTTATGTTATGCGCAATATATATTGTGCATTTAAGCTAATATTGCTACCTGTGAAATACTTATTTATACTAATTAATCGTACTTGTACCATTATATTGTTTACTATATTTCTTTTGGTCCTTGTAAATATATATTTTTTCACTTTTTGTACTTTATTTTGTACCCTTATTGCATGCTTTAGTATTTCTTTTTTTTTTTTTTAGCGAGTTGTATCAGTTCTTCTCATCCTGAACATTTCATTGCATTGTCGACCTTGTGTTAACCTGCATATGACAAATAAACTAAACTAAGAGCATCAAGAATAACATTTGCCAATGGCATGTTTTAAAATTTGCCTACTATCTTTCTCCTAACAGTAAAGCCAGCAGAATGATTTCTGCATACACTCAAATGTAAGGCCTGAGTAATGTACATTTTATAAACCGTACCAGTTAATGAGGGTCCACCGAGCCTAGCATGGCCCAGAATTGTGCAAATTTTGCCCCAACTAAGCATACACTATGTCCATTAAACCATGCACACCTACATGCCCATTGAACCTCTAATAACAGACGTTTGATTGAGAAAACGGCAACAAGCTGGAAAATTTTAATTTAAATTAATGTAGCATTCTTTCCCATCAGTGTTTCATTTTTGAGAGAGTTGCTTCATAAGCATGAAAATTATTTTTAAAAATTGATCCCTTGTTTGGATAGCCATGGACAAATGGTTTCACCTCTTTCCACGCCCCATGCTCTCTGACTGATGTCACAGCTGAGGAGATAATTATTGATAACTACCTGACACAATGTGACGTCAGAATGTGACGTCTCTGTAACGTTCGTACTGGTGACATTTCTGGTGTTGCCTGTGAAGCGACTGTCATTAATTAAATTTTATCCTTCCAGCCCCCGTACCCTTACACCACCTCTTCTGACTACTTACGGATGACAGGAGAGGTCGTGGTCCTGGCATCAGGAATCTTCTTCTTCCTCTCAAATGTGAGCCAACGTACTTTATGACACTTCTAGTTTCCTGTTACACTCTGAAAATGTTTCTGTGTTGTGGTTTTTTGGCAGATTAAGGAAGTCTTCCTGAAGAAGTGCCATGATGTAAAGTCCTTGTTTATGGATGGATCATTTCAGCTGCTGTAGTACGTTGTCATCCTCTGTTGTTGAACTTTATCTTAATCATTTTAACTCGGAGCAAACTTTGCGTCCTCTCATCTGAATCATTCAGTTCATTTCTTTAAGTCTGAGTTATTTGTTATAATGAAGGATGCCATGCCCCTCTGTTCTTGATTAGCCGTGATATTTACATTTAAATAAAAGGTCATGTTGTGTATTTTTACACTCACTGATGATAATTCACTGACAGAGTTCTTGCTTTGTTCCTCTAGCCTCATATATTCTGTGCTGATTATAATCACGGCTGTCCTCTACCTGTCTGGCATCAAGGCCTATGTCTCTGTGATGGTGTTTGCACTCGTCCTGGGCTGGATGAACACACTTTACTTTACCAGAGGCCTGAAGCTCACTGGCACCTACAGCATCATGATCCAGAAGGTCTGGTGATTAACATCAGCTGCATCGATGCGCTCGAGGATTTGTTGTGACTTAACGTTCTCTGGTTTTTGTTTGCTTCGTAGATTCTTTTCAAAGATCTCTTCAGATTTTTGCTGGTCTATGTTCTCTTCATGATTGGCTACGCTTCAGGTGAGCTCAAATGTAGCTTTATGTTATAATTTTCTAACTCTCACGTGCATAAATCATGTCCTGAAATTTTTAGAAAGCTGCTTTGTGTATTTTTCCACGTTGTCCATCTGTTCCTTAAAATGCCTGTGGCGATATAAAATGACATTCAATGTTTCCACCCCACAGCTCTGGTGTCTCTGCTCCCAGTTTGTCCTCAACCAGGCATCGAGTGTCAAGACGAGTGTCCCACCTACCCAAAGTGCAGGGCCCCAGACACTTTTAGTACTTTTCTTTTGGACTTGTTCAAACTGACCATTGGCATAGGAGAACTGGACATGGTCTACAGTGCACGGTATCCAGCGGTCTTTCTCGTCCTCTTAGTAACTTACATTATTCTCACCTTCGTGCTGCTGCTCAACATGTTGATCGCATTGATGGGGGAGACAGTGGGACAGGTGTCCAAAGAGAGCAAGAAGATCTGGAAGCTGCAGGTGACAAAGGAGCTTCAGTTTTACTAATTGTGTGTACGCTTCTGAAGCATTCACTCTATTGTGGTCCATTTTTCTTCCATGTGTTTTTGTTCTGTTTCAACAAATCATGTATCAAAACATTCAGCTTGTTCAGGAGAAGAGTGCTATGGCTTTTGCTATTGGTGCAACTTTAGCTTTTTGAAATATTTAGCCATTTCTGCTATTTTTTTATCTCATAGAAAATGAATTGAGCTCATTTTACATCTTTCAAATCTTTAGATCTGGTTACAACTTTTTACTGCTCCTTTCATGTATTGTTCTGGTTCAGCTTCTTTCAGTTTCCTGGTGTGAAAAAAAAAATTCCAGCTAATTTAAACTGTTTTTTCAGCTGTTTTGTGATCCTTTTAGATTGTTTCTGCCAACTACAACATTTTTTTGTTTCTTCTAACTTCTTTCTGCTAATTTCAGCTCGTTATGCTCTTTTCAGCCTATTTATGCACGTTTCAGCTTTTTCTGCTATTTCAGCTACTATTTTGCTATTTTTATGTTAATTTCAACTTTTTCGGCTAATTTCAAAAATTTTCAGCTGATTTCTTGCTTATTTCAGGCTTTTTTCAGATATTTCCACTTAATTGTGCTCATTTCTGCTTTCTTCTGCTAACTAACTTTTCAACTAGCTTTTTAACATTTTTTAGTTAATTTCAGCTGTTTTCAGATAAATTCAAGTTTTTCATGGTAATTTCTGCTACTACCATACCAATACAGCCAATTTAATTATAGAGCACTTAAAACAGCAACAAGGCCAACCAAAGTGCTGTACAATAGAAACAGACAAGCACAGCGGACAGAAAAACCTAAAATAAAAATATAGAAACAAATGATTTCAACCTAATTAACTTCTTTATGCTAATTTCAGCTTATTATACCCCTTTCAGCTTTTTTCTGCACTTTCAGCTACCATTTAGCTCTTTTGATGACAATTTTAGCTTTTTCAGCTAATTCCACTTTTTTTTGGCTCATTTCAGTTCTTTCCACCTCCTTCTTGTAGTTTAAGCTTCTTCAGCCTTTTCAGCTATTTTTGTTGCTAATTTCAGCCGTTTTTAGCTAATTTCCTAATTTTTGCACTCATTTCTGCTTTTTATACCTAATTCAGCAAATATGTGTTCTTTCTGCTTTCTTCTACTAATTTAGGCTTGTTTTTCCATTTCAGCTACATTTCAGTTTTTTTTTTCTAATTTCAGTTGTTTTTCAGCAAGTTCTTCTGCAATAAGAATTCACACTACATTTTCGCAGGACATGCAATTCCTCTAGTTGTGTTAAAATTCTGCCTGCTTCATTATAAAAGGTTTGTTTGATTCCAGAAAGAGTCCTTTAGGATGTTTGCACGTTAGACTCAAACATGAAGTCCCGAACAACAAAATCCTGCCGACTCTTGAGAATATCATGAGTTTAACAGGTTTTTCATTTGAAAACAAATTGAAATTACAGTTTACACTTCATGTAGTGACCCTAAAGGCCTGCCGCCATTTTGATAAAAGTCTAGATTTGTAAAACATTTGCCAAAGTACTCACATTACACTAAAACAGCTCTGTTAAGCTACATGGAAAACAGATTTTCACAGGGTTTTTCCTATTTGAGATTTTCTATTCATTGCAGCTTGTCACATGATGTTTTACTTACAGTGGGCTACGACCATCTTGGATATCGAGCGTTCGTTCCCCGTGTGTCTTCGCAAGTCTTTTCGAGCTGGGGAGATGGTGACTGTGGGGAAGAACTCGGACGGCACACCAGATCGACGTTGGTGTTTCAGGTATCTTTCATGACGCAGAACGACGCAGTCATCAACAAAATGTTCTAAAAGGCCAGAGTGTATTTAATCAGTGCATGTTTGTGTGAGCCAGCCTTTGATTTGTCATCGTGGATCTGTTTTATTAGTTTCTGCGGTCAGAAATTAATGACTGTATTATTTTTCAAAAGTGTTAAACATTTTTCAACTCGTTCTTTTTTGAAGCTTAAATATTTTTGTTGTGACTTGAGTGGGAAATATGGAAAAACTGTTATAAAGAAATGCCAGCTGCTAAAGTAGATAATGAAATGGATTTAATGCATATAGCTAACATGACAGTTTTAAGTTAGACAACATCAAAACCTGAAGGAAAAGCACAGAAAGCAGTAAAAAGAGTTTTTTCACTGGAGGTTAGCTACATAAGGAATACAGAGGAGGAATAATTTTAAGGGTTAACACATCTGTTACGTACCCCTGCTCCAACTGCAGAACAACCGCTGAAACTTTAACAGGTGAGCTTAACTGAGAAAACGAATACTTCCTGCGTGAGTCGGACTTGATCATGTGGTGTAAATGAAGGCTTTGATTTTCTAAGACATTGCTGTCATCTACCCTTTCAGAGCGGAGGTACGACTGATTCCTGTATCAGAATGTTAGGAATTTATTAATACGTTAATACTTTGTACTTCCTTGGCCGGATGGAATGAGTTTGTGGTCAACATATGGCCCGTGGGCCATTAGTTGATGTTCACTTGAAGGTAGCATGCATCCATCCATCCATCCATCCATCCATCCATCCATCCATCCATCCAT